GGAGTAGTAGTGGTAGTAGTAGGAGTAGTAGTAGTAGTCGTAGTCGTAGTCGTAGTCGTAGTCGTAGTCGTAGTAGTAGTAGTAGTAGTAGTAGTAGCAGCAGCAGCAGCAGTAGGTAGGATCTCGGAGTCGGTGTCGGGCGCTGAGCACTGTTTTGAGAGGCACGCGCGAAGACTTGGGCCTGCTGTGCCCTGGTGAGGTACCGTCCCCGCAGCTTAGACTGTGCTTGAAGTCTTTTCGGAAACTGATCGAACTTCGACCGGTCGTGGCATCCATGCTCCAGAAGCATGCAAACGGGCATCTGGTGATCGAACCACGACCTCGAAGACGCCTGTTTTGTTTTGGTCGTGAACCACCGAGCAGCCTACCTTTGCACCCTAACCGGGAAGCTCACAATGTCTGGAAAGCGCATTTTGGCAAGACGGTGAACTCGGTGTGTTCTCTCTTAAACCTGAAACGTGAGAGGGGTAGAGTCAAGACCTGCGCGGACCACCGGGCAGGCCCCTTGCAGGCTGCAAGCTGCACTGCCCTGGCCTGCTTGTATCGGCTTATGTTGATAGTGACTTTCCAGCTGTTGTCCGCACTGGCACCAATAGGAAAGGTCGTTGTGCCGTTGCTGAGCGGCATCGTCGCCTCCAAATGCACCAAGACGTCCAACGGCAGCGGTGAACGTCTCTGCGCGAGAAGCCGTCTGCTGGACACCTTCCGCCACCAGCCTTCATTGTCACTCGCGCCACTCTGCATCGATTGAGAACGTCTTGGAGTCTTGGACAGGCTGACAGGTGCGAAGGTTGCTGGGCGCTCCACATCTTGCCTGTACAAACCCAGCGGATGCTTTGATCAGAGCGCCGCGCTGGCGTCCATGCCCAGTTCGGCAAGCATAGCAGGGGTGCTGAGAATGCTGAACTTCTCTCCAGCCGAATCACATGACAAAGCAGAGGTCAAGTGAAGTAAAGTGGTGCAATCTCCAGGAGGGGATCTTCGACGTTCGCTCTCCTTTGCAAAACGATTCTGGAATCTTGTGCAAAGAGCAGTTAAGTGCTGATGAGAATGATCCTGTCCTACAACACAGCCACCCACTTCATCCTTCAGATGCTCTGAGGCTGGGACCTCACAGGGCGGGAGGCGCATGGCCTGTTCACAGCTAACATAGAAAATGCAGAGCCGTCACATCTGTTCGGTGCCTTCCACAAGACACGAGACAGTGCACATGCACCTCCAACACGTTCGGGCTGGAAATCAAAGCTTCGGCTGACTCTGCGGCTGCAGTGCCACATCCAACCATCTGGAGAGACTCTCTGACGCTGCCTGTACCTGATTACAAGTCATCCCGCCTGAAGACATCCAAGCGTGGATCTGTGCAGCCAGCTGCATTTGCTGCTGCATCGCAAGCTGCTGCGGACTTGGTGTGGGCAATGCGGGAACAGATGCTCCTCTTTGCTAAAATGCTTTCCCGAGCTCCCAATCGAACCTTTCTGCATGCCGGGCTGCTCCAAAGGAATCGCTGGCCCCGCGGTGAGCGGAGAAGACCTGATATGTCAAGCAGTCTTCTGGGTACTGCCCCACCTGGAAGCCTGATAGGTCTAGGAGGCGGACAACTCCAACCCAAAAGGTGTCAGTGACTGAGCTGACCTCCTGTCTCCACGCTCCCGACATGGGTGGTGCTATCGCTGCGGCTCTTTTCGGTTTAGGGCCCCCATCACATTACCGGGCGCAGCAGCTTCTGAGATCTCGCAGCTTTTGAAGCGAAGGCTCTGTTGGAGTCCTATGCTCTGTCTCGGTACCGCCCCGGGGCCCCGGCATACGGCTGTACAGATTCAGCAACGACTGGAGCGTGGCAAGCTGCTGCGCCTGAAACGCAACGACAAGCATGTTGCACTTAGGCATGCTGAGCTGCTGGCACTGGGTACTGGCTTCTGGCATAGGAGCGATATCCTTGTGACGCTTGCCTTTGTCCTTGGGGGCACCTTCATGTTTTTGCAAGTGACAAACAGAGTGGCGGGACTCGGTTTTGGGCTTTCGTCACTAGCCTCCCGCTTTCGACAGCTGGACTCCGATGCGATGTGCAAAGCAAAAACTCTGCACCTGGAGCTGCTGGAGCTGCAGCTGTTGCACCTGCAGGTGCCTCGGGGCTCCAAGTGCAGGAGATCTAAAGATCTATAGGTCGTGTCTGCTGTCTTTAGGACTTCGCGAGACCCTTTGAGCCGTAGAGGGGGGATGTAAACCCTGGGGACGCATCCGACAGAGAAAAGAATCGAGAAACTGTGGCCACGCTGTCTTGTTTGAATGTGCTGTCGGGAGGCTGCGCTTGGAGCTGCACGTTCAGGAGCTGCGCCTGGCTTTCAAGCCCAGCCTGGACCTGTGGGCCTCTTAGAAGGGAGCTTCGAACTTATCCTGCAGAACGGGGGGAAGCACCGTGTTGACGGCCGAAAGTCCCCAAAAAGCAATGCTGAGATTCCTGACTGGCTTGCCTGGTCTGCCTCAGGCAGCTGCGTCGAAGTGCCTCCCACACGCGTACAGCAGATGCTGAAGCTGAGGACATTCACGCCGGCCTTGCAAGAATGCCTGACCTTTGACACAAGGCTTCTTACAAACAGCTGTGTTTCTGCTGCCACTGCACCAGGCACAGTGACGACGTTCTTCGGAGGGGATGCGTCCAGTGAAGCTCGCGGCACAGGCGTGCCAGCCTTTTCTCAGTCAGGCTGACGGTTAGACAGATGAGGCGCCTGGCACCATCTGCACATCCACAGGCACCGAGGCAGCCTGTCAGGAAGAGGTAAGAATGTGAGGCAAGAATGACGGCTTCTAGCCAGTGAAATTTGTGCGAGCACTTGAAACGGTTGATGTTCCTCTGCATCACTGGAATCATCCCCGGAGTCGCTGGGTACACGGTATCCAAGTGCACTTCCAAAAACACGGCGACAGGGCGGCAAGAAGGGCAAAACATGGGCAACAAACTGCAAGTGCACGCAGCTGTGTTGGCGCCATCCCTGGTTTCACGCCTGGCCTGCATCTCCGGCTGATCTGGCCCTCGTCAGATACAAAGTGAAATTGCAAAGTCACGCAGGGAGGCACCAGAAGCATCTCTGAAGGCAACGACCGTACTGAACTGCTTGTCAAGAACAGTCCAGCACATGGCCGAATCTTGGCAAACAGGGGCAAACTGCCTGGAGGTGGAGACTCTGGATTGGCCGGTGGCGAGAGCTCGGGCGTTTGCTCCTCTACTTCCGGCACATGCCATCTTCATGACCGAGCTATGCCGCAGCTATGCAAAGTTTTCATGTCTCAGACATGGAAAATCACAACAACCGATTGTTCTGACACGGTTCGACGCACGCAGGTACTCCGTCCGCGTGCTTTTTTGTCGGCATGCTGAGACGCGGGAGCCGACAGCCTCTTTGCTTGTTGGTAAGTGCGCACTGCGCTCCCGTTTACCACTTGCACAATGCCGGCGAGAACAGTGCGGTGCTGCATTACGAGAGCAAACTCCTCCTCGGTCTTCTGCGCCGCTGCTCCCAGCGCCTGGTTACATGGGGTTTGGGCAAAGGAGTGCGGAATCAATTGATATTGATTGTGTGTGGCCAGATTGCAGGATTCTCCTGCTGGTGAGCAGGGGCATGCGTGCTTCACGGAAGGATTGCTACTGCTGCCACTCGGGGCAGCCGTCATGTAGCATGGAAGCATGACAGAGCCAACATGCACTGCCTGGAAGAAGTTGATCAGTACGCAACATCATGACTGCCGCTGATTGGATTTGTGGCCGCTGTTGCTCTTCGGCTCCGCCTCAGCGGTTTCGTAGGCCAGCAAAGCACCGAGGACGCCTGCAGGCACTGCACAAACTGAAGGAAGATGTGGGTGCTTTGCCTTCCCCTTGCAAGCAGGCTCGGGGCACTGTCATGTGGCGGCCGATGTGACTGGGGCTGTGGTGGCTGCTGTTGGCGCAAGAGCTCTTGCTGCTTCGCCCGCTCCTCCTAGCACAGGAAACTTTTAAAACGAACTGCAACCGGGCGACAGGGCGCCCAACTTCAAGCAAGCCAGCTCTCTCTCTCTCTCTCTTTCTCGCTCGCTCTCTTCATGATCTCTGGAAGTACAGGCAATGCGGGCGATCTTTGCCTTTGCTTCAACAACAGTGGTTGAGTTTTCCATCAAGTCAAGCTTCTGCACATTCTGTCTTCTTTCACTAGTTGCTCAGCAATCGGCTGCACACCGCCATACCTGCACTGAAATCCTTGCTGGCTCAATCCCTGCGCCCTGGACATGCACGCGTCCTCGATCTTCTTCATCCGCACCCTCCTCTCTGCCTCCTCCTTTTGATACCTGACTTGGGCATCATCGTGAAGCTGCAGTGCTGCCCATAAGTGTGGGGAACAGAACATGTTCTACTCTGTGGCGACCTTGTTGACAGTCACCACAATGACAGTCTGTTGCTGCGTGCTCTGCTGGGCTTAAAACCAAGTGGGGTTCTGCGTTACCTGAAACCTTCCCGATACAGCTTAGCTTTCTCTTCCATTCAGTTGCTCAAAAGACGACTCTATCTTCTCCCTCACCACCTCCTTTGCAGTCCTGCATTCATGAAAGGATTGTGCCAGTGCTGCTAAAGAGACAAGTGCCCAACATGCAGACAGGTGGAAATGTGTCCACTGTCTTCTTGTTGCCGGAGCTAACACCTATCCTGACCCGAAGCCTGCAAGGCTGAATAGCCTGCATACCCCTTGCCCAAGCCCCAACAAGGTCTACCTTTCTCATAGTGGTCGGAATTCATGCCACTACCCAGGCCCTAAGCTGCCCAGTCCCACGTTGGGGTCTGCAAGGCTTAGCAAAGGGGCTCTAAGCGCCGCTTCTTCTCGGCAAGCTGGGCCATGAGCACCCTCTCCTGGTAGTCCTTCAGCCGTTAAAGAGCGCAGGAGGTGAAGGGAACCGAGAGATCATGGGGAAGCTTTCAAGAAGCCTTGTGAGCCTCGGAGCCCCGTTTCGCGACCCTAGCAGCCGACCTCCAGCTTGAGATCCTTCTCCTTCTTGAAGCTCTGCAGGATATCGTCGGGAATCCTTTTTGAGGTTTTGATTTTCGTCGGTTCCGAACCCATCCGTCTGGTTTCTAGAAACCCCCTCAAACACCACTGCTGGCGAGAGGCGGTTCGGACACAAACTGGCCGGTGGCAGGGTCCCACACACTGCCCGGCAGCAGGCCACCTCTGGCAAAAACGATGTGCTCTCTCTGAGTCTCTGCAACCGACACGGAGATCTGGCCAGTGTCAGTGTGTGGACTGCATCTGAAATGGCTGCGGCTCTCCCCTCAGCTCCACTGTGCTCCACTCCATCTGCCTGTTTCGCTGGCAGCTGCACCAGCAGCAGGATCCTCTCGGACAGCACTGCGTTTGTCAAGCGTGCATGATGGGGGGAGCAGCGCAGGGTGACACACTGCACGTAGACATCCCCAGCAAGAGGAAGGATCCCAAGTTTGTCAGCCATCCCGCCGACATCGAAGAAACCCCACAAGAGCAAGCAAGTTTGGCAGCAGGGACGTCCTCGATGCTCGGCGCCTCCTCCAAGACAGGTCGCACCTCCGCGCAAAGACGCGCAAAGACACACAAGAGAGGGGGGGGCTCCCCCCGGGAGAGGATTCGCTCAGCGCCTCCGCCCGGCCGCGGCGTTGCGCAGCACGCTCTCGAGCCGCATCAGAAGTCAGCCTCTCTGTGTTTTTCAGGGGTTGTTTTGGGGGGTTGCAGACTATATCCTTAGGATCCTTTCGGCTTTGCCACCGCGGAATTGCTGTGACTTTGGGTTTTGGAAAGAAGACTCTTGTGCACAGATCGCCACATCAGTCAGCACATGCATGCCTAGCACATCATCAGCACTCAGAAGATGTATGACTCGCTGCCTGCCTGGTCGATGCTGCTGCAAACGACGAGGGAGGATTCCTACCGGAATACGTCTAGCAGGCAGAGAGCGGGAATCAAGCAAATTCCTACCAGCGCTAGCCGCTAGCACGGATTGGCAAGGATTGGCAATCGTGAGTTGGCCTCACAAAGGTCGGCATTGGTGGGCACGGATATAGTTATTTTCCATGACTAACACACTCAATAACAGCATCTGCAGCTTAATTATGTTGATATTATATGAGTTATTGGGCACACGCAGTTGTTCTAATTTTTCACCACCAGCATCCTGCCGTTCTGCATGGTTCCAGCACCCGGGTTGTTGCAAGTCTCCCTTTGCGGGAAAGCCCTTGCCTCCAAGACCACGACTACGACGGTCGGTGAGGGGCCGTCAGCAGCAGCAGCGTAGCAGTAGAAGCAGACCGTGCTTGGGATACATGATAAACTCATAGACAGAGAGGCAGACAAAGGAAAAGAAGATAGGTCTAGAGAGAGATGGCAAGTATACAGTGAGCTTTTCCCCTTGCTAATGACTCAAGCTTAAAACCGAAAAAAACTTCCTTGCCAGCCAGAGACTCCCCAGGGGCCTCACTCCGAGCTCAGCTTCCGGTTCCAAGGGCTCCTCCTGCAAAGGAAGCAAAGCCCCTTCCACTTTCGAAGGGTTCAAAGGCGGGAGGAGGGGAAGCTCTTTGAGGTTTTGTTCTCCAAAAAACTACTAGTAACTACCACGCTCCCGGAGACTTTTGTGCCGGTCCTCCTCCTCGTAGCTGCTCAGCATGGAGCTCAAAGTCTTCTTGGGAGGCGGCGCCTTCCGCTCACAGGAGTCGAGCTTAGCCCGCCGGAGCTGAGCATTCGGGGCTCCTCCTACACACTGCTCACAGTCTGCTCCGTGCGCCTTGTACCAAACTTCGCTGGCTGGCTCTTGGCCAACGGGCGGCGATCTCTCCGGAGAGGACCCCTGCGCGCGGACGAAGCCGGTGGCTGATCCAGTTCGGACTGCCGGCACCCCGCTCACCCGCGCTCCGCGGTGCCTCGCCCTTCCTTGGGGGCGGTACAACCTCCGCTTTGGCTGTAGAAACTCTGTCCGGCTCAGAACTGCCCTTGTAGCAACCCCCTGAGTCCCGCGACACAGGGAAACTTCGCGAAGGCAGGCGCCAAGAGCTCGGCGAGCTCGGCTTGGCCTGGCTTCATGGAGGAAGACTGCTCACTTGCCTCTTCTCCCCCCAACATGATCTGGCAAGCACAGATGCCCAGCTCAGTACAACCACGACCTTGTTGTTGCAACTCCGCGAGCACTCCACCGACCCTCAACCTTTACGGCTCAAGGTCACGATCCATCGGATTCTGAACTCCGCGTTCAAGGGGCCTTGGCTCCCTTCTGGCCGAGTCGGCTCCTCCTTCGTGGCCGGCGCAGTCTCCAGAGCCGGCTCCCTAAGATTTCACGTTGCGGTGCACTGTGCTCCTATGCCACAGGGAACTTGTAACATAGATCGAAGCCGGAGGGTTGAGGGCGGCTGTCACCAAAGCAAAATCTGAAAAGCTGTGGCTTGCTCGTTGAAGTCAACTTGGACAGAGACCAACACGGCATGCCGAGCTCAATGCACACGAGACCCTCGCCCTCGCGACAGCAATAGCGAATAGCCCCGCAATGTATGCCATATGCCGCATAGAGGCCGGAAGAGTACCTTGAAACAGGATTTGTCCAAGGACATCTGCCTCTTCGGTTGGACGTCCGCCGCTTCGCCGAACCTAAAACGGGAGGTGGCGTTTTTCGGAGTCGAGCAGAACCCGCAAAGTCAAACAGGTGATCTTGCTCAAGGCAAACTATGCAAACTGCATGCAGGACACAGCGTCTTCACCTTCTCTGGGCTTGGCTCCTCGGGCTTTCCTGGCTCGTGAAACCTGAGACACTTTCGATTGGTGCTCCAAGCTTTACCAGGGTTTGGCTTCGGCACAGAAGCTCTGACACGGGATCTTCCTGCATCAATAGGAATGGGGGGGCGGAATCTGTGCAGCAACGGCGCAACACGAGAAGGCCCTCGAATTCTGGCTTTTGGGAGAGTGGGGACTCGGACCCTCCGACTCCTCTGCGAGGTTCTCATGTGCTGTTGCTGGGTCCCCACATCGAATCGGGAGCAGCTTGAGCATGTGCCGAGAAAACCACGTGAACGAGTCGTCGTGACCACCGTCGTCATCACCGCCAGGGGTGGCATCTTTGTTGCGATTTTTGTCTCACTCGCAGAAGCAATCAGCATTGCTCCCATCTGTCCGAAGATAAATGATCAAGCTTACCCACAGGGCCAACAACCGGCTAAGCAGCAGTCGCTTGAACGTCGCCGTCTCTGGCTGCGGGGCTGCCTGAGACAGGATGAGCAGAATGCAGCGAAGCCCCGCCCAAAATGCAGTCCTGCCTTGGTGGGCACCAGCATCGCGGGCCCTGGCCTCACGGCGGCAAATATAATAAGACTCACTGAAATCAGCTGCATAGATCTACCAAGAGCTTTTCATGCAAGACACTGGCTGGCTGGAGCTGCTCTCTTCGCCGCAGCTGCGGGAGCAGGCGCTGCGAGCTGCGACACGCCGAAGTCTGCCATGACCTCCGCGACAGTCGAAGTCAAAGCCGTGAGAACAGAAGTGCCGAAGATGTTCTTTTGTCGGCAGGCCGGAACAGGAAGGGGCGACCCCCCAAAAAACTTCTCAGCTCGCCTCCGCGAGGGTCTTCACGAAGGAGCTGACGTCAAAGACATCCTCGACATTCGACATGCGGGGGCCCAAGGCTTCACAATAAGCAAACACGGCATTTCCAGAGATGTTGCTTCTGTAACCATGGTTTGCACACTACGAGAATCCTATGTTCTCAGAAGTGCTGCCCACTGATGAAGTCCCCTCCAACAACATTCCGTTCAGGGCTCTACGGACACGTTCTGCAGCACGACATTGGCGTCGGCCGCTTCACCGGAATTCCTCCTGGCGAAGGTTCGTCAATGTCTATAACCACGGACAGCTTTGAGAACGTACCCGAGGGCACCACAGCAGGCATGACACGGAAGGTAAACGGTGATGATACTGATAGTGGTGGCGGTGGAACCTAGCATTGTGGCTCGGATCCGAAACGCAGTTTGGAGCGCGGGCTTCCAGCGGTTGCGCGAATGAAGCGGTGACTCACTTGCGACCGCCGGTGGAGCGCTGACACCCTCGCGGCATGACATTTGTCGCCCGGAGCGGCAAGCAAGACCGTGGAGTCGCGCTCCGTTCGTTGACTGAGAGATGTCGGTTCACACACCTTCCCAGGTCTTGGGAATCAATCATTGGTCGACTAGCGACGATGACTGCTAGAAGTTACTAGCAACGATCCCATGTTCCATTGAAAACGTAAGTACTAAAACTAGTGACCATCATTGTTGTTGCGACTATCATTACACGCGATGCAGAAGCTGTGTTGCACTGATGCTCTTGCTATCTCAGCACCTTCGCTGTGGTTGCTTCTAGGGTTGTGTTGGAGTACTCTACTCTACTACTCGCGCTGCCCATACTTCTAGACTTTCTCTTGATACGTTTCTGGTCTTCCCAGTAGAAACAGATACTGCGAGCATGATTAGCCAACACTGATTTATCAATGCCAAAGTGGCCGTCACCAAACCTTGCTTTCACACACAGGTCTGAGCAGCAAGGCGCAGACTCCTCGCGGCTGCCTCAGGGCCGTTGGCTGCAAGCTTGGCGACGTAGTTCTCTCCTGCAAAGGCCGAGTGAACGGGCTCAAAGGTACTCTCGGGGATGAGGCTCAATGGATGGAACCTGCAACCCTTCACGTCAGAATGAATCCCTTGCAGGTCTTGTGCGTCCACTGCCAGGATACTACTTCTTCGGAAGACTCCTAACGACCAGAAGCACCAAGCGAATCCAAGTCGATGCGCCTTTGCAGTTGACCGCATAAGTGATGATCCCCTGGCTTTGTCCCAGCTTCCGGGCCACAGAGTAGGAAGCCTCAGTGAACAAAAACCCTAAGCCCACCTTCGTAGGCTTCCCATGATTATATAAGGTACGCGTCGTGCACATCTCTGGGCGATGGTGTACAGGGTCCAGTCTCCAGTACAAACCCTCTGATTTACGTACCTCCTGTGGGGGCAGCGACTAGTCCGAAAGAGTGGCACGAGTATGTCACTTGCACAGACTTGAAACTCGTCCAACAACCCTCGATCAGCAAACGGGCATCAGCCTGGGCATTGGATCTGTTTGCATCCCTACATGCGATCGATCATCACAGCGCGACGATACTGAGAAGTGAAGCGGCGCCGTCCGCATCGAAGGTGGTGCCAACGGGAAGGTCAGTCCAATCCTCAGGCGGCAACTGCTACTTAACAGTGTAACACGTTTCTGGGTCTTTTAGAAATGTGCCCAAAGCTAAGGCATGTAATTAGAGTTTGGCTCACGACCTAGAAATTGGAATCAAGTGAGTGCACCCAAGGTGCACAGTCTTCCCAAACACTGGCCTCCGTGGCAGAGTCCTTGGGGCAACCCCCCGCTTCCAGGCACTGCTGTCAGGATCGGGCCCAAGCAAGATAACCAGATAACCCAACTCTCTGCCGGAGTCCGCCTCTTCAACCTCTTCGGCTTCCTCCTCTCCATCTGCAGCCTCTAAGAGGTAGGGATCAAACCTCATGCAGCATATTCAGCGGGAGCAGCGTCGTCGCGCGATGCAGGGTAAAACTCGATCCTATCGACAGAAGCCGGCCGCCCAACTCTGCCGGGACACGTTGCCGTGCTGTCGTCTTGCTCAGGCTGCCTTCCGCTTCATGGAAACCGTCAAAACAAGCTGCGACGCATCTTGACTTTTGTTCTTTCTCTGAAATGACCGAGGCCTGTCCACGTTTTCTGCCAGGCCTCGGCAAGGATGTCATGACAGCCGAAGCCGAAACCACCACACACACATCCACCCGCTTACAATCCTCCAAGGGACCATCCCAGCCATCACGACCCAGCAAAGCCTGCGCAGCAAGGCGCAAGAGATCGGAGCCAGGAAGCTTATCAACCATTCAGCATTGCATGCATCCGATGTCTTCACATCACACGTTTAGAATGGCATCTGACAACTCTGGGTTTCCTTTTGCTGTCCCCCTCCCTTCAGCCTCGTCGCTCTTGGTAGGGACCGAGGCCTCACAAACGGGGACTAAAAGTGCTGCCATGCCCGCGGAATCGCACGGAAGCGATGCCTCCGCAGTGTCCACGATGTCCTCCAGCTCTACGCCTTCTTCGCCTTCTGAGCCGCTTTCCTCTCAGGGAAGAAGGGAGCCAAAGAGCTAGGCAGGCCAGTACTGGTCCCAGTGACGGTGGCCAGTCTTGTACTTGTCATACTGTGTGCAAGCTTTCAAGCCACAGACACTGCATGGACAAGTTTGCGATCTGCATGCTTTTTTCTGGCAGGGGCCCTGACTGTTTTTGTTTTGTGCGAAAGCAAGTCCAGATCTGGCCTGCCATCTTGGCTGGCAAATCCCCTGGAGGTTGCAAGCGCCGTTCGCACACTAACAATTCACAGAGGGCTTGTGCAGCAGTTCGAAGCTAGGATGGGCATGCCCATCCTCATGTTTGGG